CGTATATTCCTTCCATCTTCTTTTAATACTTCCTGGATCATTTAATATTCTGCCCAAAGCATCCTTGATTACAGCAACTCTAGGTTTGAATCTGTTCTTCGCTATCGAAGGGTGCACGCCTCCCCCATACCACTACTTAATCTAGCCATCTGGAATTCTTCCCTTTTCATTTTTTGCTGTGATTCCCGTGTTTTACTCCTAAAGTGCCATTGTTATTTATTCATCTCAATTCCAATTTTTCTCTGTGCCTTTTCAATTTCTAATCCTGTTTAGTTTTCTCCAAATGTCATTACCTGCTCAGGAACTTTTTACAGTTACTATTTCTTTTCATTTATAACCCTCATTTCTCTACTCCCAAGCTATACACCATTAGTTAGTGCAAAAAAAAAATTCATTCATATTCATTGTCAGTCATCCCGACCCACAGATATCTCAGGCTACTTGTAAGAAAACATTTTTCCCTTTAAGAAAACTTTCAGAGCATATTCGGTTCTTACCTCTTCTGCTTATTTATCTCATAAAGCTCTGAACACCTCAGTCCACAGTGATAATTTTCTTCCTACATTCCACTTATTACTGTATAAGCACACCTCATTTCATTGTACTTTGCACGTCCTGGCATTTTTTTCCTAGAAACTGAAGGTTTGTGGTAACCCTGTGCCAAGCAAGTCTACTAGTACGGCTTTTCCAACAGCATGCTTTCATTTTGTGTCTCTGTATCATATTCTGGTAAACCTCGCAATATTATAAACATTTTCATAATGCTGTTTCATATATCTAGATTACCAAACCAAAAACCTACTTCCACCATGTTTGTTCCAATTTAGAGCAACCCTGTATAACAAAGTAGAACTGTCCCATAGAGTTTCCAGAGTTACAAATCTTTACAGAAAGAGACTGCCTCATCTTTCCCCATAGAGCAGCTGGTGAGTTCAAACCACTGATGTTTGAATGACAACTCTGAGTGTTTTAACCAGAGAAACATTAAACCTATTAATATAGACGACAGTAGAGTGTAGAGGGAGTTCTGGTAAGGCACTACGCTGTGGGGAAAAGATGGGCAGTCTCCTCCCATGTACTTTATTGCCTCTGAAAACCTGCTGGAGGACCAAATATGGGTCGACTCCCACTCCACAATACACAGCGACAAAAGTGGAGTGTAACTATAACGTTTTCATAACACTGGGAAAATAAAAAATTCTTGTGACTCACTGTATATTAGTGTCATAATCTGGACCTGAATCCACAGTATCCCAAAAGTAGTTACTGTTCATTGCAGTGATTCAGAACCAACTCACTGCTGACCTTCTAGCGAGTTTTCAGAGGCTCTCAGAGAAGATTGCCTATCTGTCCTTCCTCAGGGCAGCTTGTGAATTTGAACCACCTGCCTTTGGATTGACAGTGCAACTCCTTACCCACTGCTTTTGTTGTTGTTGATTGCCGTCAAGTCGAGCATGACTAATAGCAACCCTAAGAACAAAAGACCTGAAGCCTTTCTATAACTATCATCGTTTCTCAAAGTTCATAGTGTTTCCAGAGACATGTTGTTTAGAAAATGGATGCCACTCTTGCTTCCAAACCTGTCTTAACACTGGGAGTTCCACAAAACACTGTCCACCACGGGTAACTATTATGGCACTTGACACCCTAGTGTCACAGATTTCAGCATCACAGCAACCCCAAGTTACCTCAGTACAGCAGATTGACAGAAGAGTGCTGTACCACTTAGAAGAATGTTCCTTCAAAATATAATAACAAAAAATAACCAATATAATGTTGTTAGGTGCTGTCTAGTAACCCATAGTGACTCTATGCAGCTCTGAACCCTTACCTGTCCTAAGCCAGTCTCATTAATATCACACACTAGTAAAATCTTGATAAAGATTATCTAGAAATGACTGGAACAGTACGTTGATAGAGAAGTACCAGAAATACAAGCTGGGTTTGAAAGAGGTCATGGCACTAGAAACATTATTTCCGATGTCAGATGGATCTTGGCAGAAAGCAGAGAGTACCAGAAGAATGTCTATCTGTTATATTGACTATGCAAAGGCATTTGACTGTGTGGATCACAACAAATTGTGGCTAACCTTGAGAAAAATGGGAATCCTAGAATACTACTTGATTGTGCTTATGCAAAACCTATACTTGGACCAGGAAGCATTCATCAAAATAAAGCAAGGAAACACTGCATGGTTCAAAATCAGGGTAGAAGGAGGGGCAATCTCCTTTGCCAGTTGGATCCAATTCAGTGGTACACAACAAGAGAAAGTAAATGATAGGAGGAAGACTCATCAACCACCTACAATATGCAAATGGCACAATCTTGCTTGCTGAAACTGAAGACGACCTGAAACAGAAGGTCAAGGATTGTAGTCTTAATATGGATTGAAGCTCAACATCAAGAAAACAAAGACTCTTCACCCTTGGGCCCGTTGGCAGCACTATGATGAAGAAGAGATTGAAGTTGTTAACAATTACAGCTTGTTTAGCTCCACAATCAACACTCTTAACATGAGCAGTCAGGAAATCAAAAAACGAATTACATTGGGGAAAATCTGCTGTCAGGGACCTCTCCAGAGTGCTGAAAAGCAACCATGTCAGTCTAGAGACTAAGGTGCGCCTAATTCCAGCCATGGTCTTTGCAATTACTTGTTATGCTTCAGAGAGGCAGACAATGACTAAGGATAACAGAAGAAGAATCTATGCCTTTGAGTTGTGGTGCTGGAGAAGAGTCTTGAACATACCATGGACTGCCAAGAAAACAAAGATCTGTCTTGGAGAGGGTGAAACCAAGTCTCTCCTTGAAGGCTAGGATTATGAAATTCCATCTCACATAGTTTTGGCATGCTGCCAGGAGAGACCAGTCCTTGGAGAAGGACATCAGAGTCAGTTAATCGCACGGGAGGAGGTTACCCTTCCTCCTCCCTTGGAGCAGCTGGTGGATTTAACCACTGGCCTTCAGGATTGCAGCTCAACTTTCTTGCCACTAGGCCATCAACGCTCCCTGTATAATTCATTATCGTATTATTAGAATTTTTTTTTCTCCTGCTGTATCTTTAATTTTCTTGAGTTTAGCACTTATGATTTATTCTTTTTTTTTAATTTTTATTTTATTATTTTCTGTACCGTCAAATTGGATGTGACTGGTAAAGGAGGAGATGGCCCCTCCTTCTCCGGCAGAGCATCTGGTGGATTCGAACCGCTTATCTCTGGGATTGCAATGCAACTTCTTGCCACTAGGCCACCAGAGCTCCCCCACTTATGATTTATTCTATTCTTTGATATTCTTTCTGCCATACATCAGTATCCTTACAAACTGAATATGACATAGCTTTATGATAGTTGCTCAAACAGGTCTAATTAGGTCTTAAGAGTAGAATCTTCTCAAAGTTTCTATGTAAATATTTATGCTGAAATTTAATATGTAAAAATGAGCTAGTTAATAAACAGAAGGGTATTATGTATGGAGGAAAGTGTAGGACTTTTCATCTCAATCTTCCCCCAATCTTTTTTTTTTCTTTATTGTGTATTGTCAGATCAGATCTAATTGGCACAGATTGTTCCTCCTTCTCCAGTGGAGTATTTTATGGATTCAAACCATGTGCCTTCAGGATTACAGCACAGCTTCTTGCCTCTAGGCCACCAGAATCCCCTTAATCTTAAACTCAGTCCCTGACTCTTTAAGATTCCACAGATTGCATTTTGAGATATTTTTTTTCTAGATGGTATTACTTGACTTTATTTTATATTAGGTGGTGTTTATTTTGAAATAATTTCTTTAATAGAAGACTGCTAATGGTTAAAGAGAAAAATGAAAATTTTAGGAAAACATCTACGAATAGAAGAAACATGAACGTCTCTTGTATTAAATTTAATGTTATACTTGAATGATGCTTTTTTTTCCTCCCTTGTTCCCTTTGGTTTATAGGACTATCCCACCTACACTATCCTTGGTCAGAGTCAGTACCAGACGTGCTACCCCAGCTCTAGTTTTGGAGTCACTGGCCAAAGCAGCAGTGATGCTGAGAATACCACGTTAGCAGCAACCACATACCAAGCCGAGAAGCCTGCTGTCATGGTCCCTGCAGCGCAGAGACTTTCCTCTGGTGAGCACCACAGTTCTCAAAACTGTCTAAGAGCCCTTAGTCAATAAGTTGTTTTAGATGATAATGAAAATTGTTTTATTCAGTCATTTTACCCTGACTTTAACTCTCTGGCGGTGAGTAGATAAACTTTGGAACGAGAGTGTAATGAATTACTAGCAAGAGATTAGAGGCTAAAAGTATTTCTGGGACTGTGAACAAGAAAGTACCAAGCATGAAAAGACTGTTGATCTGATTCCCACGCCTTCACTGAGTTACTATCCCTAACTTTAACATGTTTGTCACAGCAATGACAAGTATCAGTCTTGGAACACTTTGTACAGGTTGAAAACATGCATTCATGTTTCAGTCTCCTGCTGTGACCTCAGAGCAGTTGTCCTTAAACTTTTTATTTACTTATTATTATTTATAACTTTGAAATAATGTGATAGTGCCTGCATTTCTATTTTGTCTAAGTCTCTGTGTTCTTTGTAACAATTTTAACATTTAAATAATGGAAAATTTCAAACATATGCAAAAATTGTCAGAATAATACGATGAACCATTATGCACCCATCATCTGGCATTAATAATTCACTTTCATGGACAATATTGCTTCAATTATATTTCCTCAGTTCCTCCTTTCCATGTTGTTTTAAAGCAAATTCCAGGCATCCTGTCTTACTAGTATCATATTAAAATGTCTTTATTTAAAAAAGATTAAACAAAAGTTCCTTAAATCATCACATATCCATTAGGTAGTCATATTTCCAGTTTCCTTATAAATTTTAATTTTGTTTTTCTTTTTGAAGTTTAAATTTGGATTAAAATATGGTTCATGCATTTTGATAGGTTGGTATGTATTTTATATCTCTCTGCCTTTCCTCTTCCCTAGCCAGTAATTTATTGATTAAAAAAATTAAACTACCATGTTCCAGTCTGAATTTTGGTGATTATATCCTTATTACGGCCATTTGACATGATCTGCTGCCTTCAATATTTTATTGCAAATTCATAATTACATTTAGAGTAGTGATTCTCAACTAGAAACAATTTCCTTCTTTATCCCCCTGGGACAGTTGGTGATGTCTAGAGACATTTGTTGATTCTGGGAATGCTACTAAGAAACATTGAGTAAAGACTAAAGATGATGCTTCTTGTTTAGTGCCGTTGAGTCAAGTACAACTCATAATGACCCTATAAACAACAGACATAAATTCTGTCTTACCCTGTGCCATCCATCCTTAACACATTTGAGTCCATTGCCACAGACATTGTATCAGTCCATCTCACTGAGGGTCTTTCTCCTCTGGCCCTCACCTTTCCAAGCATGATGTCCCTTTATAGGAATTAACCTCTCCTAACAACATGACCACAATATGTAAGACAAAGCTTTATCATCTTTGCCTCCAAGGAACATTCTAGTTACACATTCTCCAAGACACATCTTCCCAAGACAGTGAATTGGAAGTATGAGAATTAACTCATTTGAATATCTTAAAATACACACTAACTCTCCCCATCAAAAATTATCTGACTAAAATATCAGTAGTGGCAAGTTGAAAAATGCTGATCTTAATGAAATTTTATTTCAAGCTTTTCGATTTTCTTTATTTTGGCAAAAAAATATTCATAGATAAAAGGGTTTTAACCAGGAAGGAGACAATATGATGTAATCATTGTCTTTCTGGTTGTCACTTATCAATATTTAATGCCTCAGCTCATTCTCACATTGTTTAGGAAAGTTGAGTTTACCAATCCCCATTGGTACAGTGTGCTGCTTTAGACACAGAGAACTTGCTAGTTTTCTTCCTGGTTATTGGAAACTGTAACCACTGACAATATGTCTTGCTTTTCCTTTCAAGGAGACCCTTCTACAAGCCCATCTTTGTCCCAAACTACACCAAGTAAAGATACTGATGACCTATCTAGGAAAAATATGACAGGCAAGAACCGGGGCAAGAGGAAAGCTGATGCCAGCTCTTCCCAAGACAGTGAATTGGAAGTATGAGAAGTAACTCATTTGAGTTACCTCCGTATTTTTTTCTTATTTCTTATTATTAATAATCATTTCCTCTTTTTTGTAAAATTTTATTTAACTCAGAAAGTAACAGTGATAGTGATGATAGTGAGTTTCTTTGATATGTGCCCTTTAATTCCTGAATAGGAGAAATTAAATTGACTAAGGGAGAAACAAGTTTTTTCATAACTACTTTATATTTTTTTCAAGTGCTTTTTAGCAAAAGAATCAAAAAAGCTTGGTGAAATTTAGATAGATGGTTAACATTTTAAAGAGAAGAACAGACTGTTCTCTATATTCCAGGGGAAATTAGAACATACATCATATTCAGAAAGCTAAGAATCACAAGTGATTTTATGCTGTTCTTTATTTTTAAAATCCTGACATCAAGTTAGATTAAATTAGTTTAGGCCAAGTTTCTGTGAGCTGTACAACCAAATCTATCTAGTACCTTAGTAATGAGGTTGGCACTCATTTATAGTCTAAGGTGTGAGTACTGTAGGAATTCTTTATGAACATATAAGTTGGCTTTGCTGTTGGAGAAAACTAGAAAATTCTAGATAAATGTTGAGAATGGTAGAATTTTTGTGCTATCTTTTTGTTTTCAGTTTTTTTTAATAACATTTAAATAAGGAAAAAAAGCTGTATTTTAAATGTTTCTCTGCTGTTAATGTTTTAAAAACAGAGGTCCATTGAAGCTCTGTTCATAGAAAAGAAAAACAAAAGTTCTGATATATTTCCACTCATTATCTTTCATACTCTCCACCCTCAGCGGGTTTTTCTATGGGACTTAGATGAAACCATCATCATCTTCCATTCCCTCCTAACTGGATCCTATGCCCAGAAATATGGAAAGGTAATTTAGGACTTAGTTCCTTTGTTTTAACTACCTCTCTTTTGAACTATATCAAGAAGTAATTAAAATCATTTTCTCTGCTTATCTCCACCTCAATCCTGTCGGCTTTTTATTTCCATGTGAAATTTAACCAGGTAGTTTATACCAAGCAAACTACGTGGTCATGCAGAGCTGATGGTAAAGCTAGATATTAGATCTATAACCAGCCTTGAAAGACTAAAAAGATTCAGTAGTAGCATATGGTAAAGATTAAATTCAGGAATATTCCTGTATGCTAAAGAATATTGATCTGTTGTACCTCAGGCACTTGCCTGCTAACCAGAAGGTTGGAATTTTGGCATTTGCTTCTATAAAGATTTAGTCTTCAAAGCCTGATGGGACAATTCTCCTGTGTCCTATAGTTTAGCTGTGACTTATAATCAGCTCAGTGCCTGTGGGCTTTCTATACCTTAAGTCACTTGTAAATGCTAAAGCCAAGCATTTTGCTTACTTTTGCTTATATGAGTTATTCATAAACTTATGTATAAAACTGTCTTTTTAAAATATATAATGTACTTTGTTTTGTTTTGTCATTTTAACATGTACTTTGTTTTTAAACTAAATATGTCAGACAGCATTTCCAAATGTTTAATCTGTAGTATAATCATAAATTTTAATTGGATAATGAGCTGTTTTGAGAGGATTAAAACTGTATATCTCTGCACCAATTACCTCCACAATCCAATTTTTCTGTTCCTCTTAAGTTTTATAAAATTATCTGCTATTTTCTTCTCTCAGTTATTATTGTCATTAGTATGGTTCTTTCTATTAAAAAGTGCTTTCTATAGGCTTTTGAGCTCTGGTGGCCTAGTGGTAAGAAACTGCGCTGCAATCTCAAAGGTATACGATTCGAATCCACCAGCTGCTCTGTGGGAAAAGAGTAGACAGTCTCCTCCCATATGATTTATTATCTCTGCAAACCCACTGGAGGGTCAGCTATGGGTCATTTCCGACTCTGTAGTACACAACAACAGGCTTTTACTATCTAGACTGGCAAACTTACATAAACTTTATGACTAAGCGGGTTATAAAAGTATATAAAATAAGGTCATTTAGCCTCAGAGTGAAAGTAATGCTTTCTTTTCAAACAAAAGATACTCATTTTCCTTCAAATAGTTTGACTCTTGAGCCTTTTACTCACTTCCCAGTTATTGAGGTGGTCACATAACTGAGTCTTGTCATTATACTGTGTGTGTGTGTGTGGGGGGGTGTACACAGGAGAGATAAATGAGTACTACAGATCACAATATTTTTATAATAAATATTGTTTCCTCTGGACTAGAGCATTTTTAAAAGATTGTTTTTCAAGTAAAGGAAGACACTAATGATGAACACAATTTTTTACCAAGCCCTTGAGTTCCTTTTTTAACATCTCTTTGTCCCCATTTACTTTGTTCTTATGTACTATTACCCTAGTCACTAGAAGTTTCTAGAAACATTCTAGAATTTTTCTGACTGTGACTGAAAATGAAATTGTATAGTTGAGTCACTGTTGTTGACATCTGCTGTATTGGCCTTAACCTGAGATCATTTTGAAGTGTCTGAAGATGAGAGCCAGTGCTGTGAGGACTAGGTCAAGCTGTTTTTCTCTTACTGATTTCCAGGACCCAACAGTAGTGATTGGCTCAGGTTTAACAATGGAAGAAATGATTTTTGAAGTGGCTGATACACATCTCTTTTTCAATGACTTAGAGGTGAGTGTTTTAGTTTCCATGTATCCATTAATTCGTTTGTTCAATACCTATTTGTTGGATTTGTGCTTATTATGTTCAAAAGATATGTAGTTAGACCAGGTAGGTATGAATAAGCGAGCTGGCCACTGAGGAACACACAGTCTTGTAGAATAAGGGCTTTCGCTGGTTCACTGCAAACTTGATTCTAGTCTTCCCATTTTATTTGCTATTTAAAAAAAAAAAAACACAACACTTGGTAGTGACCTAGTTCTAGAGGGAAATACAGATCAATCTAGCAAAATACTGATTTATATGACAGTATGGAAGCCAAATTACATAAAAAAATTAATTTCTTATAGGTATATAACATAGCTGGAACTCTGGTGGCCCAGTCCATAGGGAATTAGGATGTTAATCCAACGAAGATGCCGCACCATGGTTTGAATCCACCAGCAACTTTGAGAGAGAAAGGTGGACTTTCCACTCCCGTGTGATTCATAGCCTCCAAAAAAACAGCTGGAGGGTCCGCTCTCAGTCAGTTCTAGCTCAACAGCATTGAATTTTTGAGATAGCTAACATATATAAACACATAGATATAGATATATAGGTACACACGCACGCGCACACACACAGAGGGGCATCCTGGCAGTATAGTGTATAACCTGTGGGGATGCTAACTAAAAGATTGACGGTCAAATCCACCATGTTCTAAGGGAGAAAAACGAAGCTATGTTCTCTTATAAAGATTTATAGCCTTATCAGAAATCTGGTAAAGGATCATAGTAAGTCAGTACTCACTCACTGGATGAATGGATGGTTGGATGAGATAGATAGATGGACAGACAGACATATATTAAAATGGGTTTGATTATAATCTGTTATATTTTTTTACTCTTCTTCAAGTTTTACTTTCTCATAACATAGTCTCTTCATTGTCAGATCTATAAACAGGGAACATTTTTTCCATGTATAGGTTCACCCTGATGTATAGTTAGCTGGAAGGGCAATTAGGAAACAGAGCATTATGATGAACGTTTTGGGCTTGAACATGATACAGTAGAAAAGCACAAGGCTTGAAGTCAAAAGACCAGATTATGAGTTTCCACTTAGAAAGTTACTTCTCCACTGTAGGCCTTAGTTAAGAAGTTAGACTTCAAAAGAAAGTAGTAACAATTATATCTGGGGAAGGGATCTGAATGTTTGGGACAAAAATAGGAAGAAAAACCTTCCTGTTTTTTTCAGTTTGAACTGAGTACTACATATTTTTTAAAGTGAAAATATAGAACTGAAACAATATTTTACAATACAAATGTACTATTTCTTTTTTATGTAATCTAGTTCTATTTATACAGCCCTCCAACAAATTGAATTATTAAAGCTCTAAATTCCTGTACATTCACCTAAACTATCACAACGCTTTAATCATCCATTGACCTTTAGAAGTTAGGACATCATAGTTTTTATTCAGCAAACATTTATTGAAAACCTTCTGTGCGCCAATAATTATTGCCAAATTGTATTTGTAATGATTTTCTAGACATAGTCCTCACTCAGGACTGAAAGTTCTGTGAAGAATTTGACCTGAATGTGTTCCTGTCCCCAGGTCAGTAGTTCTCAACTCTAGGGCACATAAGAATCACCTGGGGAGCTCGTCTTTTAAGATGTAAATTCTGAGACTTCACTCCCACAAATCCCGATTCTGGTGTGTCGAGTGAATCCAAGAATATGCTTTTTAAAAAAAAAAAAAACACACAAACTGCCCCAGATGATTCTGATACAAGTGGCCCTCACTTTCAAAAGCAATACCTTAAGTGGTGTCACCACTACCCTATGTTGTGTCAAAAAGTGACTCCATCAGACATAGGCGTGGCATTTTATACTAGTAATATAGGCTTGTTGGAAAGAATCTTGGATTAGAATCAGAAGATCCAGATTCTTTCTGATCTCATCCTGCCACTCACTAGCTGTATATTTCTTAATCATTTCATCCCATATTTTAGACTGTCTTAGTCTCCTAACTCTTAAATTTGAATTTACAACTTTGTGTTACAGTCATTCTCATTGAAAACTACACTACTCCAGAATCTGTCTGATTTAATCCACCTGAGTAGGCTAAAAAGATGGGTGCTTCACCAGGAGACACAATTTAAAAGAACTTACACCTAACAGTAAGGGAGCTTCCACAGTTCATGAGCTGTTGGAGAAATGACCTATTAAATAACGTAACTAGAGGTTGGGGACATTAAACGATTTTTTATGAATATGACCTGAATCAGGTCTTAAAAGAAATTGAACAATAAGGGGGGTGACAGTGAAATGCCACACTTAAAAGAGACTATGAAGTATTTAATTATCCTGTTATGTTACATAGTTATTTTTACAGTATGTAATGGTCATAACAACACTTCTGACCCTGAACTAAAGGAATTTGTTATTTTGTCTTTTGACAGGAGTGTGACCAAGTACATGTAGAAGATGTGGCTTCTGATGACAATGGCCAAGACTTGAGGTGATGTCTGGAACAACATTACCATTTTTAGATGCAAGATATGTGTCTAGGTGCAGAGGAAATCAAAGACAGCCCTTAAAGAGTTCACAGTCTGTTAGATGTGGCAGAAACAAATCCTTGAAATACAAAGTGAGAAGGTGGCAATAAAAAATGTGATGGTAACAGACAAGAAAGTCATTCAGGCCGAGTGGCATGAGTAGTGGAGCAGCCTTCTCCTTGAGTGGCATTTCAGCAGGAGCTTGAAGGAAGAGCTGTATAGTGGTAGGAGAAGGGAAAATTATCTGCATGAAGAATTTTAGTAGTTTGTCTTTGACCAGATGATTAAAAGACAATCAGAATAAAATGGGCTATTTTTAATACAAATAAACATAGGAATGGCGCACAGAAACCTACCTGTGGAAGTTCAGTGGTATCAGAGTAACCCCAGGGAAGACAACCACAAACATTACTGTTCATCACAATGAGAGCTAAGGGAAGGAGACCTCAGCAGGAAAATACTTGCTCAGTCTCCCTGTTTTCTTAACTACTGACTCATGACCCAGTAGTCTTAGCTAAAGGGAACTTTGGTGGCATAGTAGGTAAGGAGTTGCACTGCCAACCCAAAGTCAGGCAGTTCAAATTACCATTTGCTCTAGAGGAGAAAGATGAGTAATCTCTCATGCAATCTAAGCCTTTGGAAACATGCTGGAGGGTCAACTATAAGTTGCTTACATCTCAGCAGTACATAACAACAATAACAGTCTTAGCTAAGAGTGATCCAAAAATTTCCCAGCTTATTTTTAAAGGATTTTTGGAAAAAGACATCTTTTCATGTGTTTGTTCTGATGTTTCTTTCTCTTCCTAGCTAGAAAATTCTTCCTTGTGTTTTTCTTAATTTTCCTGCTGCTATTTCAAACTCTTTCATAGTGAATTAAAAAGTTTGTCTCCTTCTTTATAATTTAAAACATTTTAGACTATTAACAGTTCCTTGTCTATGTTAAAAATTTTCTATTTGCTTTAAATTTTGTACATAGATCTTCTGGAAACACTCACTACACATGCATAATGCACATATCATACAAAAGAAGAGTTTGCATGTAGTTTACAACGTGTAATTGCTGTGGAGTCAGAACTGACTCTTAGCTGACCCTTCAGCAGGCTTTCAGAACCTGTGAACTGCATGGGAGGGGATTGCCTATCTTTTTCCCTTGGAGCAGCGGAGGGAGGGATGGATCTTTATGTCATATATATGGCATACACTAACAGTCTTTCTTTAAGTGCTTTTTCTATGAAATTTTAAATGCCATGCAGAACCATAGGTATCACCTTTATAAGGGCCTAGTCATTTAGTTGAGTCCCTGTTTGATAGGAAGAGTTAATATGCTCGGCTGCTGAGGTTTGCGTCTACCGAGAAGTACCTCGACATAATGGCCTGGCAGTCGGCTTCCAAAATGACCGTTAAAAACTCTGTAGAGCTCAGTTCTCTGACACATGAAGTTGCCATAAGTCAGAATCAACACAACTGGTGTGATCATTTAATGCTCAAACGGTTTCCCTGTCAGGAGCAGCTTGTATTAATGCATGCTGGGCATTGCACAGCTAGGTATGGCACCATTTTTTTTATTAAAAGCCTTGTCTGGATCAATTTATGATTGACACTACTCTAGATGCTTTTTTCCCTCCTCCTTCTGGTCAACCACAGATACCTCTTGACAGCTTTATTTTCTTAAAAGTATAGAAATCTTTTCACCAGATGCTCTGCTGGAGAAGGAGGGACAATCTTATCCTGTACTAGTCAGATCGAATTTAATGGTACACACACAAAACATAATAGAATTCTTTTTTTAAAAAGGAATAGAAATCTCACACTATTTTCATTGATACTTTTTTACTTTTAATTAAACTGAAGAATCTCTAATTCTATTCGTCATTGAAAAATCTTTACTTATGCACAATTAATTCAGCCTGTTTGACTGTATTGTTGTGGTTGTGCCATTGAGTCAAAACCAACCTGTATCAGACCCTCCAGCAAGTTTTCAGAGCAGAAGATCACGTGGGGGGAGATTGCCCATCCTTCTCCCACAGAGCAGCTGGTGGGTTTGAACCATGTGCCTTTGCGATTACAACATAACTTCTTACCACTAGTTATCTATTACTACATAACATATTACTCCCAAACTTAGTTAACTGAAAACATCAGACATTGTCTTACACATAGCGTGAGTCAGTTCAGGAGCAGCTTAGGAATCAGGATCTCTGTGCTTGCTGTCAACATGAAGACTTGACTGGAGCTGGAGGGCTGCTTATGCATACTTTCATGACAGATTGCCTCACTTTTTCTCTCCCTAATTGTGTGAAGCTACTCAAGTGTTCTCACATCATGATCCCTTCAAAAGCAAATGCTGAAAGAGAGAAGGCAAAAGATCCTAGTCTCCAAAGTCTAGCATTGTCATTTCCATTTCATTTCATATTGTAGAGTAGTCTGTACCCAACCAAGAGGAATAGAAATAGGAGAGATGAGTACTTCAGTGACCAGTAGACTTTATAAATGAAAGGAAAAACATTCCCCATAGTCTTAGTATTTGGGGTTATTTTTATTTCATACTTTAAAAAAAAATATTATATATGCATGTGCCTGAAATTTTGTTTCCTCTCTTTACTGTTTTATTCAAAATAATGCTCTATCCTAAGGCAATGACAGAGGGATGCTGTTATGCTTGTGTGTGACTTGTTCTTCTCTTTCTTTCCTTCTCAATTCTTTCTGTGGTAGAGGTAATGGGAAGGAGATAGAGAACTAGTGGAAAAATGGACTTTGACACAAAGAGGTTCAGAAGATTCTCAGAGCCGTTAGGACAGAGAACTGGGTGGCACCAGGCTAAATTCTCCATGCCTTAACAGGTTTTCATTTTTGTCATCTCTTCTCTCTGCAGCAACTACAGTTTTTCAACAGATGGTTTCAGTGGCTCAGGAGGCAGTGGTGGCCACGGTTCCTCAGTGGGTGTCCAGGGAGGTGTGGACTGGATGAGGAAGCTGGCTTTCCGGTACCGAAAAGTGAGAGAGATCTATGATAAACATAAAAGCAACGTGGGCGGTAAGTGTCCCATGTAACTCATCTAATTCTATTTCTTTCTGGTTTCTTGTTGTATTTTCAGGAATTCCTTAGATTTTACCTTGCAGTTCCTTGTGAGCTTATTGCCATAGGTAGATTTTAATTTTCTTTTTTTAAAATTATTATTAATTTTAATGAACATTTACAGAGACTTTGGATTTTCATTCATTCATTGTTGCATTTTTAGATTTTAATTACTTCTACAAACATGAAATTTAATTAAAACTGTTGGAGGAAGCTCCGCATTTATTTCTCATTAGTGTCTCTTAGCATCGGATTATCTGGGTGGTTCACATGGTTAGTAGCAAAAATCTACTCACAAAAAAGAGCAATTATGTCAGTTTAAAGACTAAGGTTTGCCTGATCCAAGCCATGGTATTTTAAGTTACTTCTTTACATCTAACAATTAGACAATTAATAAGGATGACAGAAGAATGAATGGTGTCATTGGAGAATACCATGTATCCCATGAACTGCGAGAAGAATAAATAAAGTTGTTTTATAGGAAGTATGATCAGTGCTTTTTAAGAGACAGAGTTAGTGTTCTAGTCTAATTCATTCGTTTTTAGTTAAGAAAATTTATGTCCAGTGCAAGGGTAGCAGGGACACCTTATCCAGTGTCACCGTGCAAGGTAGTAACCACACCATGGCCATAGAAAGTCACATGCAGAAAGTAAAGATGGACTCTTACAGTTAACTTTTTTATTACTGTTTCAGTCTTTCAGATAAAAACTATGAGCTGCTAAGCTTCAAGACCCTGATTGCCCTTTTTATTTTTTCTTTCTTCAGAGCTGATATTTTTTTGCATTGAAAACTCTAGGCCTCTCCTTTTCCCCTCTCAAAGACTTAAGTCTTTCTTTTCATAGTTTTCCTTTGCAATATAGGTCTCTGATCCTTTGTCTATGTAGTACCTGCATCTGAAGAAAATTATCTAACACTTAATAGATGGAAAACAGATTAAAAATAATTTTCACCTGTGTATTTTGTAAAATATGTTGTTGTGTTGTTAGGTGCTGTCCAGTCATAGATGACTCATAGTGACCCTATGAACGAAAGACCTGAACACTTGTATAACTTTCATTGTTTCTTCAAATTCACAGTTTCTGGAAGCAAGCTATGGAAGTGCCTGCCACTCCTGCTTCCAGGTTTATTTTAATCGGGGAGCTCTACCAACACTCTCCCCCATGGGTAACCATTATCACATTTGACACATGCGTCAGAATACTTCCCGACCTGGATTCCAACCCCATACTGGTGACCAAATGCCATTTTAAATAGGAGGCTGAATACAATCAGCTCATACCTAACAGCTAGTAAACATTGCCCCTAAATCGCACCAGAACCAGAAATCAAACCTCTGTAGAGTCAGGCTGCTTCAGAACACTTCCCAAAAAAATACATTTTAACAAAAGTGAAAATATGTATGGATATTGTTTAGTTTTGTTTATTTTTAATCAGAGATAATAAGTAAACAAGTTCTAGGTTTGAATCGTAAAACCATCAATCTGAGAATAAATTTTACTCATAATAGACCACATGGTTTCTTTGTCTATCTGTGTTTCATTGATTATGCAAAGGCATTTGACTGTGTGGATCATAACAAACTGTGGCTGACTCTGAGAAGAATGGGAATCCCAGAACACTTGATCGTGCTAATGCGAAACCTATACTTGGACTAAGAGGCAGTAGTCAGAACAGAGCAGGGTAACACTGCATGGTTCAAAATTGGGAAGGGTGTACGCCAGGGATGTGTCCTATCTCCATACCTTTTCAACCTATATGCAGAACAGATTCTCCAGGAGTCTGGGCTCTATGAGAAGTGTGGCATCTGGATTGGTGGAAGATCCATCAACAATCTGCGTTATGCAGATGACACAACCCTGTTTGCTGAAACTGGAGGACCCAGAGCGCTTGCTGCAGAGGGTCAAGGACTGCAGCCTTCCTTATGCATTGTCACTTAATAACAAGAAGACAAAGATTCTGACCACTGGACCAATAGGCAACATCAGGATGGATGGTGAAGAGATTAAGATTGTTTACAGCTTTAGTCTGTTTGGCTCCACAGTCAACACTCTCAGCATCAGCAGCCAAGAAAGATGTATCGTGATGGGAAAGTCTGCTGTTAGGGACCTCTCCAGAGTACTGAAGAGCAATGGTGTCACTCTGGAGACTAAGGTGCGCCTGATACAGTGTCTTTGCAACCACTTGTTATGCATCAGAGAGTTGGGCAATGACTAGGGAGAATAGAAGAATTGATGCCTTTGAGCTGTGGTGCTGGAGAAGAGTATTGAATGTACCATGGACTGCTAAGAAAATGAACAGGTTCATTCTGGAGAGGGTTAAACCAGGCTGCTCCTTGGAGGCAAGGATTCTGAGGCTTCATCTGACATACTTTGGACATGTTACAAAGAGGGACCAGTCCTTGGAGAGGGACGTCATGCTTGGGAGGGTGAAGGGACAGCGAAAGAGGGGAAGACCCTCTATGAAGTGGATTGATTCAGTGACTGGGGTAATTGGGGTGAAGGTGTCGGAGATAGTGAGATTGGCACAGGACAGAGCCGGTGAGATTGGCACAGGACAGAGCTGGGTTTAGGGCTGTTGTATATCGGGTCGCTATGAGTCACAGGTGAGTCCACGGCACATAACAACAACAACACAGAAAATTCAGAGCCACCTTCATTGTTTGATAAGCCAGGTGCCTAGCAATATGCTTCCATCAGATAAATTGTTTTGTTTGTATTTAATTGTTTAGATCTTCCTATCTTTAGTCTCTTACCTGCTAGATTCATTACAAAGAACAGTACAAGTAAATGACAATTGATCATTTAACCTAGAAGTCCAGGTTAACATGTCGTGAAATCAGTGAAAGTACACAGTGAAAAAACTTTTGAGATCAAAAGATCGAAAGCCATTAGCATTCTGTGTAAAGATTTTCTTTTCATCTTTGGGCTTTAGTTTCTTTAGAAAGAGATTGGAATAACTGTGGTTTCCTCTGGCTCCCAGACTCATTCTATCCACCTTTTGGCTTTGATGTCAAGTTCTAAAGCACTGCAACTCAAAATGTTGCCCACTGCCTGCACATTATGTTACTGGTCAGTGATGAGGGAAGAAACTTGTGCCAGTGTGTAAATCAGCTGCGTCATTAATGTGTTTGCGGGTGTTTTTTGTTGTCACACTCTGCTTCACCACCACCACCCACACCAAAGCGTTCTGATGAAGGAAATCATGCGGTGATTTCTTTTCTGATGCAAGCTCCTTAGCTAGTTGAAACATGGCATTTTGAGGAGATTTCTCTAGGAAGAGAAATACAGTAGCTTCAGAATACCTTAGTGACTCACACTATTTTAAAATTGAATTTTAAAATCGCTTTCTCAATGTCAGCAATGTTGTCAAAATAATAAATTTGTCTGTTTATATTCCCAAAGGTCTTCTCAGTCCCCAGAGAAAGGAAGCACTTCAGAGACTAAGAGCAGACATTGAAGTTTTAACAGACTCCTGGTTAGGAACTGCCTTGAAATCTTTACTTCTCATCCAGTCCAGGTATGGAAACAATACTTTCAGATCTCATCCCCTTTGTTTCCTCTCCCAGCTCAGGATAGACTGTTTCCAAAATCGGGTTTGAGATAGGAATGAGAGTTACTGAGATGATGCAGCAAAGTATATTAGGGGAGAAGCGCAGGGAACTAGCACACATTAGGGTTTTAGTGGAGATTTATAAAACCATTTTCCATTCCTCTCATTTTTAGTTCACAAAATGAAAACTCCGTAACCTATAATCTCCAGCCCAGGAAATGGGTATAGCTATAACAAAGAGCACACATAGAGTTATCACAAATATTCCAAGGACAGGAAATGTACCAGAGCCCACTTAAGAAGGCGTAATTTAAAAGAAAAATGAGTATACAGTAAGGGAGATTTCAACTTGATACTTAAAATGGGAAATAATTATAATTATAATCATATCTAGAACAATATGTTTATTGTCCTTTCCATCAAGATAAGAATTCCAAGTCCACATCCAGTAGAACAAATAGTAAAACTGACACCAAAGGGTAGAAATCCAGCAAAGTTAAATGATAAGTATGTATTCTAGAATCTCTTTTGTTGTTACACACAAGGAAAGAAGGCCTCAGCTCTGTCTTATTTATGGGCTGAATTGCCTTCAGATGATGAAATAACACACTTACTGGATCAGCCTTTTATTTGCTTGTTTTCTAAAATGTGGGATCAATAAAAAAACATGGGTTATTTTTTTTTTGTGGTTTGTTTTGTTTTTTAATTTAAATTTATTATTAATTTCAGTAAAAATTTACAGAGGCTTTGCATCCATTCATTCATTATTGCACATTTCTCCCCTCCCAAGCCTCTCCCCAGAATACTACCCTCTTGGAAAAGTAAAAGAAAAATTCTTTCATTGTTTTACAAAACCTCCCCCAGGTCCACTCCACCATGTAGCCATCGCTCTAGCCTCCTGTCATGACAGAAATACCTAATCACATATCTCTTTTAAACAGTTTTCTCCCTCCTCTGTTTCAGTGCAGTATACATTATTGAACCCATCTCAGTCTCTCCCCAACCCCAAGGTCAGTCCTCTTTTACAACAGTGGCACCATGCAATATTTGTCCTTTTGTAACTGGGATATTCCATTCAGCATAATGTTTTCCAGAGTCAGCCATTTTGAATAATATTGCATAAGTTCCTTGTTTTTTAATGCAGCATAGTATTCCATTGTGTGAATATATCACAGCTTCTCTATCCATTGGTTTATTGATGGACACTTGGGTTGTTTCCAACTCCTTGCTATTGTGAACAAAGCTGCAATAAACATGGGTGTGCATAGGGTTAGTTTTATGTGCTCCTATGCTCAGTGAACTAAAACAATCACAAGGAAATAAGACCACAACCACGTTGCTTTTCTGTGCCACTAAGTCCCATGTCTGTGCTCTTAAATAAAGAAATAAACTGAGCACAGACACCAAACAAATCCCTTATCAGGCCTTTCAAGGTCAGTTTTTTTAATAGTTGCTTCTCAGAGAACTGACCCATTGAATTTCTGCTCCCAGGTTAGTTTGAGTTCATATTTGGTTTTTTGTTTATTTGTTTTCTTTTATGTTTTTCTTTCCAGGAAAAATTGTGTGAATGTTCTGATCACTACCACCCAGCTGGTTCCAGCTCTTGCCAAAGTTCTCTTGTATGGACTAGGAGAAATATTCCCTATTGAAAACATTTACAGTGCTACCAAAATTGGTATGTTGTTTTAAATTGTATTTCTTGTCACTGGTTTTCCAGTTTTATTGGTTATGACACACTTGGTTTATATATAATACCTATAATCTTTGTAACAATCTTCTGATATTACTAACTAGGCCATCTCAGCCTAATAGGTAGTTTCCCGAAGCCTTCATAGCTAGTAAATCAGAAGCATAGTATAAACATAATTCAAACCCAGAACCATTGAGCATACCATCTATCATACTCTTTTGTAACATCTTCCTTTCCCTTATTTCAGGTTCTGTCTCTCTCTTTTCACAGAAAGTAATACATTGTGGAATTAAAGAAAAAACACTTGTTGTTATGTGCTCTTGAATCACCTGCAACTCCTAGCATCTTTATGTACGACAGCTCTGAACCCTGCTTGGTCTTGAGCCAACCTTACTGTCTCCAAGACACCCATCCCCATTACCCCACTGAGTCAATCCATCTCGTTGAGGCTCTTTCTCTCCTGCATTGTCTCTCCATCCTTCCATGCATAATGTCCCTCTCCAAGGACTGGTCTCTTTGAAACATGCCCATAGTATGTTAGACAGAGCTTCAGAATCCTTGCCTCCAAGGAGCAGCCTAGTTTCACCCGCTCTAGGACGAACCTGTTTGTTCTCTTAGAGGCCAATGGATTATTCAGTACTTGTCTCCATCTTATCCTTCTATCATCCCTCCTCATTGTCCAGTTCTCTGATGCATAGCACACAGTTAAGAAGACCATGGCCTGAATCAGGTGCACCTTAGTCTCCAGACTGAGATCATTGCACTTTAGTACTCTGGAGAGGTCCCTGACATTAGACTTTTCCAATGCAATTTGGCTTTTGATTTCTTGGCTGCTGGCACCATGAGTATTGATTGTGGAACGAAGCAAACTGAAGCTGTTAACAATCTTTTCTCCATCTATCATGATGCTGCCAAACAGCCCATTGGTATACTAGATTTTTTAAAAATCAGGTAGGATTCAGATCCTGGCCTCCTGTATTTTGCAGTCATTCCCTTGGACTCCTACGTGTTATATCATGTAAAATGAAAATCTGTCGGGAAAGTTGTAAATATCTAATGATATTTGATAATTCAGATACTTTGTACCCTTAAAAATGTGCTTAATACCAATTATATGAAATTATAATTGTTCAAGGCACAATAATTGTATTTTCAGTTGTTTCATATGCATGTGAAAAAGTTAAACAATGAACAAGGAATACTAAAGAAGAATTAATGCCTTTGAAATATGGTAAAGGTTAAAAGAGTATTGAATAGGCGAGCTCTGGTGGCCTAGCGGCAAGAAGCTGCACTGCAATCCCAGAGGTGCACGGTTCAAATCCACCAGATGCTCTGCTGGAGAAGGAGGAACAATCTCCTCCTGTACCAGTCAGATTTGATTTGACAGTACACACACAAAATAATAAAATTTAAAGCTTTCTTTGCATTTCAACCCTGACCTCTTAACAATGTTTAACTCAGCTCTTTAAAAACAAGCTTCAAAAGGCCCACTGTTTGGGTTTTTGTTTGTACTGTTTTGCTTTATTTCAAAAATTAGCTTTTTTAGCTCATATGTTTAGTTAATTACATAGTTTTAAAAGTTTATACCATGAAAAGACAAGCCACAGACTGGAGGATCATTTCAGAACATTTCACTGATAATAAATGTGTAGAATTTATAAAGAACTCCTCCAGATCAGTACATCACAAACACCTACTAGAAAAATCGGCAAAAATTTTGAACAGCCAGTTTGTAGAGAAGCAAATCTAAATTGCTAATAAACATGAGAAGTTCTTTAACCTTACCAGTAATTAACGAAATTAAAATATAATACATTTCACACACATCAGACTGACAAAATTTAAGTCCTGTGGTACAAAGCTTTGTCAAGGAAGTTCTTACTCTGAAGATGAGCCCTGGTGGTATTGAATTACTAATGAACAATGAAAAGGTGGAGGTTTAAATCCTCTGGAGTGTCTGTGGGAGAAGATGAGTATTCTCCTCCCTTAAAGACTTACAGCGTTGGAAACCAGATGGAGAATTGCTCTGGGTTAGAATCTTTTCAATGGCAGTGGATACCCTGCAGATAGGATTGAAAGTGGATATGGCCTTCTGGGTTTGTGACTATCTAATAGCACTGAAGATGTGCAGGCAAGGAGTCCCTGGATGTTGCAGATGGTTAATAGAATTATCTGACAGTTCGAGTCTATAGCACTTCAGAAAAAAGACCTAATCTACTTCTATCTGTGAACCTGACCTGAACAGAAAATGGATAAATACATATAATTTGAGGGAGCTTTGGGAGCCTCATGGTAAGTAGTTGCACTACCCAAACCCAGGGCACAAAGTTCAAATCCACCAGCTACTTCACAGGAGAAAGATGGGCATTCTCCTCCTGTGCAATTTACTGCCCACCTTGTTTTAGAAAATATTAACCCTTTAACACTTGCTTCAAATTAAACAATAATAAAATAGCATCTGTAGTTGGAATCCAGTTGTCAGTAGTGGTATACTACTACTATAATAATAAAATGTTAGCACTGAAAGGGACCGAAGTGTTATAACCAGAGAGATAATGCCCAAAGAAAGCTAGTGTCAAGGTGAAGTGACTATTCCACCAGTTTTGAAGTACCACATGACTTAGGAATATCAAAGACTTGAAGTTGCACCCTGGCTGCTGGTCATGATTTATAAAGGCTTGTCATTTACATTATCAAAGTCATTTCTGTTAAGTTGGAACTGACTCATACCTGACCCTCCAGCAGGTTTCCAAAGCTGTGACTTGCATGAGAGGAGATTGCCCATCTTTCTCTCACAGAGCCACTAGTAGATTTGGACCAGCACAGAGGCATGGCCATTAGGTTACCAGCACAAAGTACTGTCTGGCCAGAGCTCCCTCTTTACATTGCAATCATCTTAAAACTGTGTGATTTTGTATTTACTATAACAACTTTCCAGCAGATCGCAGTCAAGTGTGTTGAAGAAGAGGCACCTTTTTAATCACCTTGGTGCTAAGTCACTGAATCTGACTAGAAGAAAAGACTGAGGTTAATGGAACAGAATGAAGAAGGAAGCCTACTTAGGACTCTGATTAATTGTAGTTGTTGGTAGGGAAATAAAGTATAAAAAGAGTCAAGGAAATCATTTCCTTTTTATTTACTTGGGCAAATAAAATGTCTTTCCTGCAGCTATTGGTTTCAGATGGGATTTGAATTTTGATACATCGGCTTGTTTCACAGAACTGTCTACAAGAGATGTGTATCATCCAAGGTTGATTTCAGTGATAGAATACTTGAATTGCAGTTGCAGTCCAAAATAGGAAATTCCAGATGTCATAAGTGTTACGGCCATTTCTCTAGACTCTTCTTTGGAGTCTCTCCCACTGAAAGACACAAGACCCACCCAAAGCCGGTTTCTGGAAAATGAAGAATTAGAAGGAAGTGGCTCTTTGCCTGTTATTGCTAACCAGAAGCTAGAGCTTTTTGCTTTCATTCTCTTTCCTACCCTAAAAAATTTTCCCTCAGAAATCTTTCTGTCATCATGACACAGAGTGCAGAGCTAAGAACCCTAAGTCCAGATTCTAGTTCAGCAAACAGCTTGTATGTGAACTGGCTCAAATCACTAAAGTTCAGGGTTCTATTTTGAAATGGTACCCATCTCATTGGATTAATTTGTTAATTAAATGAAGGAATAAGTTGAAAAGTGCTTTGTGTAAGCTGTAGAACTGCAAGAGGTGGGAGAGTGAGTGAGGTGGTATTCACAGTTCTCACATTGCTTAGGCCCTTATTGTTGTCAGGGGCACATAGTCAACTTTGACTCATAGCAACCCTGTGTACATAAGTAGATTAAAGTCTTGCCCATTCCTACGCGTACCTCCATTGTGTTTAGGCCTGTTGTTACAATCACAGTGTCAGTCCATCTCCTTGTCTGACCCTCCATCTTTCCAAGCATGATGCCTTTTCCCAAGGACCAGCCCTTCCTGACAATGTGCCCAAAGTATGGAAGGTAAAGTGTCACACTTTTCCCCTAAGGGGCACTTGGACTATACTTCTTCCAAGGCAGATGTTTTTTCTTTTGGCAGTCCATGAGATATTCAGGACTCCTCACCTGCACCCCCAGTTAAAAGGCATCTGTTCTTTGGTCTTCCCTATTTGTCTCTCATTTATAGAAATTCTCTCACACTTAAGATCATGGGGACTTCACCTTTAACCTTAAGGTTAAAGGAACTTGAAAAGTGAGATGTCTATAAAAGGCAAGGGGTTTAGAGTTGGTTTTGTTTAGTGGCACAGTTTCTTCTTCTTTGGGCTGGGGGCCTACCTGCTCCGACCCCCTCATCCTATGTACCACACCACCTGGGCTACCACTTGGTTGGTCTGAGCACCTGCAGATGAAGCCAACAGCAGCCTTTCTCTTTGGTATAGAACTGTCCCAACAGGAAATGTCTTTTCCTTATCAGGGAAAGAGAGCTGCTTTGAGAGAATCGTGTCAAGATTTGGGAAGAAAGTCACATATGTAGTGATTGGAGATGGGCGAGATGAAGAAATTGCTGCCAAACAGGTAACTATGGTAAAGACAGTCGTTTGTGTAGCAGTGTGCTGAGCAGGTTACAGCTTGGGAGCCTCAGCAGCGTACTGTGCATTTCCAGTGGTTTTCCTTGCCCTCTTTCCTCTTCCATTTTTCTTTAAAGAACAAGGAAGGGCCACTTTTTCTCCAGTTAGCATTTTTCCTTCTGTTTCCCTAGAGATTCAGTATATTACCAAATTTTATTTTCTCTCAATAATTGTGTTTGTGATCTTGTAAATACTATATTTCATTTAGTCAGTCATATGCATTTTGCTCTATAACATTGATTAATGAATTACAATGTCTGATCAAAATCTGATTTTAACCTTCCCCTTCAAAGTTGTGTGTAAACCATTCCTTAGCCTTTTAAATTAGTAGCCTTATACCATTATTCTTTTGTGAGTGACTTTAAGTCACTCAGCTTAATTTGTCCTAGGTTCATCTGTGTTGTGCAGTTTTTCACAAATCTTGATCATTTTTTAGGAATGCAAAATGCTCCAGTGTGTAAATGTACCAGTTTCTTTAGCCATTGAGTGACATTTGAATTGTTTCCAGCTCACTACTGTTGTAAATAATGCACTGTAAATGTGGGCGTGAACATGTCCATTCATATTACAGCTCTTAAAAAAATCTTTGACCTTACTCAGGGTCTCCATCATTAAACCTGATGTGATCCCTGTCTTTCACCTGCATCCTGGAGAGCTGTGCCTTCTCAAGAGTAGCCTACAAAAAGCATTGTCAAAAAGGCAAATTCTGACTTTACCAAACTTTAGAGTCTCAAAGCAACAAAATCAACTGGGAATTGTTTCTGTAAAGAAAGTCCTTGCAGCTGAACCCTTGAAAAAAATGTTCTGATTTAAGTTAACCTAAGTTAAGTTAACCTTATCCCTAAAACTCTAAACCATCCTTTAATGATACAGGAAACAGTAGATGAATGAGTCTAGACTGTGGAATTGCAAATCCTGTGAGGTCACATCACGTCAGCTACTTTATTAGCTGTGTGATTTCAGACAATACCCTATTTTAATTTCACCTCTTGTTAAGTGAGTCCTTCCCAACTGCAATGTTTTTTTTGGTAACTAACCATTTGTTATATGTGAAGGTGGTCAGCTCAACTCCATTGTGCTGATTTATTTCATCGAGTTAACAAAGACGAAACTTTTAACTGTTAATGAGCTATGAGATTAGTGATCAGTATTTTCATTTGACATTTAATGTAGCAAGCCAAGAACCTTTGCTGTTTTCCTTTATTTTTATTTTTAACATGTTATTCCTGGAGCTTTGATTCTAAAGTGCCTCTTAGAAACATTTATTGTCCTTTCTGACTAAGACACTGATGAATAAAAGCATCAGTACTTCTTAGAATAAGGGGAGAGAAAGAACCAACTCATGTCATTGGCAGAGTTTGTGTCTCCAGGCCCATGTGCATAAACATGTATCATAGAATATACTCATTAGAAATTGCCTTAGAACTGGTTAAACTGCCCTGCAGTTTCCCTGACAGAAGCCTTCCTAGTCCTTGCCAAGAACACTGCTTCCTAGGCAGCCTTTTCTACTGCACGATGATCCAAGATATTAGAGATTGACATTGAACTAAGATTTCTCCCATACTGGTACTAGTCTGGCATTCCTCAGCGAGACATAACAAGTATGTGGTCAGCTGCCTTGAAAACAAATCAGTGAGCTACGTGCCAAAAGAACTTTGTTTTAGGACCTCAGTAGTATTAGAAACTTGGAACCACTTTGATCAAGATGATCAATAAAGCCAAATTCCTTTAGTTTCATAGAATATAGTTTCTATATATATCAAAATCCAAAATGGTATATATTTATGTTTATCATGAACAACATGCCTTGTAGCTCTGAAATTTATCTCAAGCCATGTTGATCCTGAAGATATTGTATAGTAGCTCAGACAGCTATTTCTCTCAAAAAAGTCTATATACATATAATTTATTTGTTTAAGGGCAGCCTGATGAGGGGTGGGCAAGAATAGAGAAACTTACCAAGTAACTTGGGGGAGGTCTCTGTAAGTCTCCAAAAGAAATGGAGGTAACTCACTATCTCTCTTCCAGCACAACATGCCTTTCTGGAGGATCACAAACCATGGGGATCTCGTGTCCCTCCACCAGGCTCTGGAGCTGGATTTCCTCTAAGAACTGGAACGAAGAGATTTCCTCATGAGCCCCTTTTCACTTCAGAAGGGAGCTAGAAACTAGAACCAACTGGGATCACACACTCGTTCTCTCTCCATGGAACGCTGGCGAGAACACAGTCAGAAGCAGCCACTGCAAGGGATGAAGCTGCTTGTTCTAAGATTGCCTGCAGCACCATGTTGTCGTCCTACCGAAACAGGAGGCCCTCGGGTAGACTCACCACAGCTCTAAAGCTCTTCTTCTAGTTTTTGTTTTATTTCAACAAATGAAGAAAACGAAGAGGAAATTCTTGGGGCAGATTTCCATTCTAAGTTGGTTGACCAGATTGAGAACTACTTTTTAATTTGTGGTGATAGCATAAATGCAGCAAATTTTTATTATAACATCTCTTGCAGTCTTTATACTCTCCTTAGCTGTAGAAATTATTCCCAGTGAATGTATATGTTATTTTTATAAGTAAAGGCCTAGTTCCTTCCTTCCCTTCCCCTCTTCCTGCTTTTTTTTTTTTTGGTCTGGCCAGAAAGGTGTAAGATTTCCTTGGAGAATAGTAACTGAAATGTCTAAAATACCTCTGTGACAGTAGCATCTCTTTTGCTGCTCCCAGGGTCTGCTCGAGGATGACTCCCTGTTCTTCTATCTCCTGGTTTGCTCAACTGTAGGGCACTGGACTCGGATTAGATTTTGGCATTTCTCACCCTCAGGGTTTTAGGTCCCCCTTCAGTCTCTTTTCCCCTTTATCCCTAGAAACTTCTCTTAAACATTAAATTCTAAACCTTCAGTTTGGCTCTTATAAACATTACGTCCGGCAGGCTTGGGCTCCAAACTGGAGAGGAGGAGTTAAGATTCCTTAGGCATTCAATGTAGGAAGAAAATCTCTTGGTTTTTGAAACATCCTATAGAAAGGACCCCTTCCCAGACAGATGCTCAGTTCTTGCCCCATTCTTAGGCTCTGCACCTCAGGTCTACCGCCATGAACCCGAGTCAGCCCCTGTGCAGTGAACTCGAAGTCAAGCTTATGCCCAGGCTCATTGCATTTTGGCCAAAATTACCAGTATGTTTTACTTCCTTCAAAACACTTATGTTTCATAAAGGTATTCAGGTATGTTTTACTGAAATCACTGCCTGAAACTGAAGAGCAGATTCTTATGATCAAACTCAATTTCCTGTGGAATACCATACCCATCTCACAAATCTCATTCTAAAATGAGAATAAAGACAGACTTTCCTTGATTTTAAAAGAGAGTATTGGAGCCCATTCTACAGGAGGAAGGATGATGGGAACCCAGGCACTAGGCCCAGCCTCCAGCCCAGCCATAGTTTTAGATACTTCATCCCATCCTGGCTGTTTATTCAGGCAGAATACACTTCCTAAGAGTCATGAAACTTGAGCCTCTTCGAAGCTTCTCTCTTCCCTAGAGAGAGAGGTGACTATATGAGCACCTCAGAGAGTCTGTGTTCTCATTAGGTGGCATCTTTGACCGGCTCAGCTAAAACTCTCCCCAGGCTCCTGTGTATTCATTTCTGGAGCTGCTGCAGCACAGGGATCAGACTCCTTCCAAAGTCAAGACACCCAGGCAGCAGTGAAAAGACTGGTGGGCACATTCCTTCAGAGGTGACAGAAAACACCTCATAGCGTATGGTTTTAGGGAGAGGTTTATGGAGGCACTGTAGTCAGTGCCCTCTTCCCTTCCTCTCACCGTGTTTCCATGTGAGTGTGGGGAACAAGACGTAGTCCGAGCCAGTCCTTCCCTGGTCTGTATTTGGCATGGTGGCTCAGAAGTTGATCTGCATTGCTTGAACTCTAAGATAGATTTTTATTTCTGTCCTTCTCCTGACAATATAGCTGTTGATTTATTGCCCTGGATATAAGTCACTCTAGATGTGTGGGCCGTGCCCATCATGATGAGGTCCACACACTTCATACTTCTTTCCCACTGCTGTTGAGGGGAGCTCATGATTCCTGGAATGGGACTTAAACTCCATTTTCATTGCCCTTTCCCTCTTGTCAAACTTGGCTCTTTCCAAAAGGGTCTTGAATTTGGCCCTGAAAACTTAACCCTCGGCCAGACACAGTGAGGTGAGGCGGCTCTCTGAACAGAACAGTCTCTGTCCTTGTGTGGTGGTTTCTTTTCATGGCAGCTGCCATCCTCATTAGAGGACAGACTGCAGCCAGGGGCTTCCTGGCTCCTCTGACTTTAAAACTGTCTAGGGAACACAGTGCTCCTCTTCCCCTGTCTTCTCCTCCTTCCTTCCCCATCACAAAAATCTGCAAAGGAAAATAATTGCGTAGCATCAAGAGCTTCTGGAATCTAAAGGCCTAAAACTACTGTGGACCCTTTTAGCAAAGGAGAAGCTGTTTGTATTATAAAATGACTCAATGAAATTAGCCAAATGATGAGTCCATCCCGCAACGGGGTACGGTAGGGTCTATGAGATGGGTTTGTACATTTTGTTGTGAGGACTCTGTCATAGAGGATCTGGGGTGCCCTGTGGGTCCTGGGTTATGGCTTGACTTGAATGTAAAACTGTGCCTTAGCACCACCCTGTCCAGTGCCCCTGGGGCAGCTGGTGGTGTCCAGGAGAACAGGCACCTGCTCCAGATTTACATGCCGTTATGGGCTTTTGTTTGGTTTAGGGTGTTCCGCCTTCTCTGCAAGTGGGGGGCAAAGCTAGTGTCTAGGAGACTTGGCACAACTTGTTCACAGTCTACACAAACTCTGCTTTAAAGCGCTAAGTAGAATCTGATTGACAAAATCCAGCTGCAGCATATGAAGCTTCTAGACGCTTACTACTTTAAATGGGAGTTGGTGCCACTGATCCATGGGGAATAGGAACTGGGGCCACCCCACATTGTCTCTCTTCCCTGGAGGGAGAGCAATGGTCTCATTCTCTCCTCCAGAGGGGGGCAGCTAGGGCCCCACTTAGGCAGGCTTCTGTTACTTACCATTAAGATGGTTTTCTTTCATCTAGAGGTAACTTCCCAGATACTTATAGAAGCCAAGTACAAATTTAGAGATTCTAAACAATCTTAAACCACAAGAGATGGTGTAGTTCTGCTCAACTCAATCAGCAGACTTGTTTCTCCCCTCCTGAGTTGAATAGTCAGTCACAGCAGGCAAGGCTCCTAGGCTAGTTCCTAATGCACTGACAGGAGCCATCCCATTAAGGGCGACTTCTACTCAAAACGTGACTCTCCCTCTGGATTTAAGATGCCTCTTTTAGCAGGAAAAGGCATTGTTTGGATTGGATATATTTATGTGACTGCGGGCATTCGTGGCTGTAGAGTCCTTGACCATAATGTTATATGTAATGGGAACTATCTTATAAACTTGAAAAATAAAGTTTTTATTTTCTATACAGTTTGCTCCTGTGTCTTTTCTGAGTAGGATCAGTCCAGTTGCCCAGCTGAATCTTAAATTCTATCCTTATTCACTGGCTCTCAGATGCCTAGCAAGTGACTAAAGACCATGGCTTGAATCAGACACACCTTAGTCCTCAAACAAACTGACATTATTACTCCAATAATTTTTGCAAAGGTTCTTGACTATAGACTTTCCCAGTAAATATGTCTCCTGATCTCCTGCCAAGTGAAGTGATTGTGCATCAAAGTAAGATGAAGTGAGTTGTTGACAATCTGTCCTTTCTCCGTCCATCATAATGCTGTTCATCCATCCAGTGGCAAGGATTTTTGTTTGCTCAACACTGAGATGCAATCCATATTGAAGGCTGCACTGTTTAAGCTTCTCAAGCAAGTCCTCAGGACATTTTAATAAGCCTTATGTAGGGCTTCATAAACATTCAGGACACAAAGAAGGTCAAATGGACCAAAACACCTAATCATAAGTTCATATGGGGAAATAATGGGGGAATTTTTAAATAACGTGCAAGAGTTTTATTTCTTTTTTTTTTTTTTTACAAAGCTTTTGGATTTCCATTCATTCATTGCCGCAATTTTCTCCCCACCCCTCCCCACCAGCTCGCTTCCCCCTCCGGAGAAAAAAAAGAAAAAAAATTCCTTCCTTAGTATACAATTCCTACGTCCCTTCCCCCCACCCTCCACCCCGAGTACACTTCTCTATGCAACCTTCATTCTGGATTCCTGTGCTAACCATAATAATCATATATCACTTCTAATCTGTTCTTTCCCTCATCTGTTTCAATACAATATACATAATTTATCCAGTTTTTTCTCATACCCCCACCCTGATGTCAGACCCATTCTACAACAGTGGCACCATGCAGTATTTGTCCCTTTGTGACTGAGATATTTCACTCAGCATAATGTCCTCCAGGGTCACCCACTTTGAATAATACTGCATTAGTTCCTTATTTTTCAATGCTGCGTAGTATTCCATTGTGTGAATATACCACAGCTTCTCTATCCATTCATTTGTTGATGGGCCCTTAGGCTGCTTCCAACTCTTTTATTGTAAACAAAGCTGCAATAAACATGGGTGTGCATTAGTTTTATTTCTTGTTGCTAAAATACATTACTTTCAAGCACTTAGAATAGATTTTTTTTTTGCTGTCAGATATACTGAAATTTAATTATAGAAGACAACAATTGTGCTGAACTTAAAAGCAATAAAAACTGACCAACAAATCTCGCTTGATTTTGCCATATCAACTTTTTTTTCTTTTGTGTGTGTGTGTACCATCAAATCGGATCTGACTGGTACCAGGAGGAGATTGTCCCGCCTTTTCCAGCAGTGCATCTGGTGGATCTGAACCACATATCTCTGGGATTGCAGTGCAGCTCTTTGCCACTAGGCCACCAGAACTCCCTCAACGTTTTTTTTTTTTTTTTGGTTTGGTTTTTTTTTAATATGGACCGTTTCAAGAATTTGCGTGTCATCTTTGCGCAGGGGCCATGCTAACCTCTGTATCGTTCCAGTTATACTATATGTGCTGCCAAAGCGAGCCTATATCAGCTACGTCTTCTCATTTTATTTCTTCAAATTTGTGTCCGACAGTCTCTTGGAAAGAGTTGTTTGTCAAAAATCCTTTGCCTTTATTCTAGTAAAAAGGATTATAACAGGGTTATAGTTTCCAACTACCATATATGTCAGGCTATTTTCCTCCTAAATTAATTTCAGAAAGGGGTTGCCAAATACACTCATCATTAAATCTCTCACCAGAACACATGTATTTGAACCACACAGTCCTACCTGCTATATCCTTACTTGGTTATAAGTACATATATTAGATGTATCAGTTGCTTTTCAGCCCCAGAAGTAAAGATCTCAGTTTCCCCTATGAGAAGTCTGGCATGTACACATCTCAAAAAGCACTCAGGAAAACATGAGCAATTCCAGAGGTGTTTTGTTCTTCCAAAACAAGTTTCTTAACAAGAATTTAAAAAAAAAATCTTTATGGAAATCTTAACATGGAACTTTTTAATTTAAATACTGTACTCATTCTCATCTTTTTAAAATCCTTATAAAGACTGCTAAATTCCACACTTACATTTAAATTTATAGAATGTTTTGGGGGTTTTCTATGCTTGCTGAAACTGAGGAGGACCTCATGCACTTGCTGTGAAGGGTCAAGGACTGCAGCCTTCAGTATGGACTAAGGCTTAATGTCAAGAAGACAAAGATTCTCACCACTGGACCAATTGGCAGCATCAGGATGGATGGCGAAGAGATGGAGAGTGTTCACAGCTTCAGTTTGCTCGGCTCGACAGTCAACACTCTTGGCATCAGCAGTCAGGAAATCAAAAAGCGTATCGCGATGGGAAAGTCTGCTGTTAGGGAGCTCTCTAAAGTACTCAGGAGCAATGGTGTCTCTCTGGAGACTAAGGTGCGCCTGATACAGGCCATGGTCTTTTCGCTTGTTATGCATCAGAGAGTTGGACAATGACTAGGGAGGACAGAAGGAGAGTGGATGCTTTTGAGCTGTGGTGCTGGAGAAGGGTACTGAATGTACCATGGACTGCCAGGAAAACAAACAGATTCATCTTGGAGAGGATTAAACCAAGTTACTCCTTGGAGGCAAGGATTCTGGGGCTTCGTCTGACATACTTTGGACATGTTGCCAGGAGGGACGGGTCCTTGGAGAGGGACATCATGCTTGGGAGGGTGAAGGGACAGCACAGGAGGGGAAGACCCTCTCTGACATGGATTGATTCGGTGACTGGTGTAATCGGGATGGGTGTGTCAGAGGCAGTGTGGTTGGCGCAGGATAGAGCAGGGTTTAGGACTGCTGTGCATAGGGTCGCTATGAGTCGCAAACAACTTGACGGCACATAACAACAACAACCATCAAATCAGATCAGACTGGTACAGGAGATTTGCCCCTCCTCCAGCAGAGCATATGGTGGGTTCGAACCACGTACCTCTGGGAATGCAGTGCAGCTTCTTGCCACTAGGTCACCAAAGCTCCCCAAAACCTATAGAATGTGTTTTAACTGCATTCATATTACCAGCATTTGACAGTTTCACCTACAGAATGAGATCTTATTTCAAATTCTTTCCTCCCCACCCTCCACACTTAACAGAAGAAAAACCAGGGATTTGCCTAAAGCTTTGTCTTCTCTTTGGATATGTGGTACCTCCCATGAACCTAGATATTTCCATGTGTGCCAGGACGAAATAGTTGTTTTTGGTGAAACTATTAGGCTGAGCCCAAGGCTAGGTTGTGCACCCACTCCAGGGATCAGGATAGGTTGGGCCTAGGTCTCAGCCTTCAGTGTTCCCTATGAAAAATAGGGTAATTTTCCCTGAGGAAAATTATAATGGTTTCAGCTTGAGTATGTGTATATATGTGTATCTTAAATATATTCCATTTTAAAGGTGGTCCTTCATTATGAGGTTCATGGTGCTATGTGCTGTCAAGTCAACTACTCATAGCTGTTCAACTCACAGTTCAACCTATGAACAACAGCTCTGACCCTTGCCCTGTCCTGGGCCATCCTCCCCATCTCTGACACACTTGACACCATTGCCACAGTCACTGATTGTTAGACCCTTTCATTTATGCGGTGGCAGACACAGAAGTCGGTGGTGGATTTTACTGCCCTTTTGTTGTTCAATCAGTAACTATGTTGGTCAATTTATTACTTCCAAAATTCCAAAGTCTAGAAATTACTGGATGATACCTATCTTTCCACTTGGCACATGTATGTAACAAGCTCCATCCTTGTCCCCTTGGAGGCTCTCCTCTCTGTCCCCAAACCATACAGCTGCCCCAACCCCATCCTCCATCCCAGGGGAGTGACTGCCCTCCCACAAGAACAGATCTGCACCCCCATCACGATAGCACAGTACACCCGTGCATGCAGGACTCTCCCACCAAGTTTCTTCTCATCACATTTATCTTGTCACACCCCCGAGTCACTGCCCACTGGCCTCTGAAGAGAAATGCACATACAGGGCCCTCTCTTTAGGGCCTTACCAGTTACCACCGGCTTGGCCATTCTAGATGAAATTTCACTTTTGCTCATAATACATTCTCCCGATACGCCTTTCATTGAACACTCTCTGATACAATAAATATTTTCTTTCTGGGTGGTGTTGGGGTGGGTTTTTTTGTCTAAAGAATTATTTCAGTGCCGAGACTATTCATTCCCATCACAGTGGAGACTGGGACATTTTCTCCCATCTCAAGGATTCTTTTCAGGATTCTTTTCCTGTTCGTTGCTTCTCTAAAAATAGGCCTCCTAAGAGTAGAAAATCCCACTTCCATAGCACGACTGCCCACATCCATAAGCCATAACTCATCAAAGAACCCTTCCTGAACTTCCAGCAAAAATGGCTTTTTTTCACACAGGTGCTGTCACTCCCTAGACCGAGTGGAGTCCGTGGCTGCTTCTGCCAGTTCCAGCAGCAGAGCTGGTGGGTGAGAACAGGTGCTGGTGTCGGCTCATAACATGAATCCAGAAATCCTACACAGGCTCACTGGCTCCTGAAACAAAGTCTGGAAATTCCTCACACAGGCTCACTGGCTCCTGAAACAAAGTCTGGAAATTCCTCCGCAGCCAGAAATGCCCTTCTCTGATCCTAGGCACCAGTTTTAAGGAGACAATTTCTTCCCTTATGAAATTTAGGACATCTCCAGAAACGTCTCTGGAAGCTCTGAACTCTTAAGTAGATTTAGTTTCATGACAGACTAGGTTGGATTTTGTAAGATTTTAATAATAATAATACTGATCAACAAAAACAAGGCACGTATGTCCCTGCATGTGCAGAGACAAGTAGGCACAGACATTCTTTCTTGCACATGGACGCTGAGGTAGGAGGTACACTGACTAAAGAAAACACTTGTGAGGCTGAGCCACAGCCCAGACCACAGGTGCATGAGGCATTTGGTGGAAAGACCCCGGAACCTCGCAAACAGCGGCAGGCAGAGGCTGAGTGAGCCACTACAGTCCTCAGAGAGGCTGACAGGGACCAGCCTGTGTTGGCATCCATGGCCCAGACCTCTAGCATCTGAGGTCCTACCCAGAAGTAGAGAGGATGAGGGATGAAGCCAGGGTGGCTGCTGGTCTGGTTCCAGATCCCAAAGCTAGAATAACTTTCCAGTCTAGGAAGATGTCCTCGACAAACACTTGTTGAATGCAGTGAAAAAATGGGGTGGGGACAGGGGAGAAAAGTATGGAAAGGATGCCCTGCAGCTCCTGGAGGCCTCTAATCCTCTAGAGGAGAACCTAAGGGCACAGTACCACTTCTACCAGTCATTTTAGAGGTGGCCAGGGATGGGACGCTCTGGGGCCACCTGTTACACTGGTTAGTGAGGGAGACAAAAAAGGATTCTCTTTCCTCCTAAAGTGTCTTGCAGATAACTGGTCCTACTGGTGCTTACTGACGTCCAGGACCCAGCCCTTCAGGCTCACGCTGTGAACTCCCTGAAGGCAGGTTTCTGTCTTAGCCAACTCCAGTCATCAGGCCTGGTACAGATCAAGTAGACCCACGGCACCCTAGTTAGCTTATCTCCACCAACTCCATCTGCTCCCTAGCAGAGCTGAACCCTATCTCAAAGGACACCATTCACCTCGTCTTTCCTTAAGGAAGTAGTTTCATCCTTAGCCTTTGGGAAAAAGTTCTTAGCCATCTTGGTCATGCGCCTGTTCTGAGGCAGCTGATGCCACTCAAGTGAAAGGAGGGCCCGGACCCCGTCCACCTGGTCAGGCTTCCAGTGGCAGCTAGGGTGCAACCAGTGGTAGTAGACAAGCCGCAGAACCAGACCCAAGAGGAAGCTGCCGGCACCCACAAACAGCAACCTCTGCAACAGGATCCTGCTGGGCAGCCAGGTGCTGTGCATCGCCCAGGCAGCCACCAGCAGACAGCTGTCACTCAGGAGGAACACCAAGTGGATGGTGGCCCGGCCTCTGGTGCGGCCTTCCGCCACGTTGAACCAGGAGAAATAGAGGATGGTGGCCACCGTTGCCCGGTACAGCCACTCAGAGCAGGGGCCTGGCATGAAGTCTGTGCCCTGGAGCCAGACCCAGAGCAGCAGCACCAGCCACAGGCCCAGGAAGTGCAGGGCCACGTAGCGGGGGAAGAGGGCTGAGAACAGGGCCACGGCCAGGACACGGGGCCACAGCAGCAGCAGGTTCCACAAGAAGTAGATCACGGAGGAGCCCAGCCCCGGGAGGGGCTTCGAGGCCAGGCAGGTGCGCAGGGCCCGGTGGTAGTCAAGCAGCGCCCACGAGATGGCCAGGAATGACATGCAGATGCCGACCCCTACAAAGATTAAGAGGAAGAGGTGAACTGGGGGCCAGTCAGTCCCTGAACATCACAGGACGGCTGGGAGCCCTGACAATCCTGAAGTAGCTTAAAGATGAAGAATCAAGTGACAGTCTGCTTCCATAAAAATTAATAGCTTCAGATACACAATGGGGCAGCTCTACAATGTCCCATGGGGTTACTATGAATCACAATCAACTTGGTGGTAGAGGATTTTTCCCAATCTTATAAAAGTAAAATCACTAGATCTTTCTTTTGTGGTGCTGGTGCCAATGGATAGTCAACCTTTTGAACATTTTAGTCAGTTGTTGTTGTTATGTGCCGTCGAGTCGTTTGCGACTCATAGCGACCCTATGCACAACAGCCCTAAACCCTGCTCTATCCTGTGCCAACCACACTGCCTCTGACACACCCATCCCGATTACCCCAGTCACCGAATCAATCCATCTCACAGAGGGTCTTCCCCTCCTGCGCTGTCCCTCCACCCTCCCAAGCATGATGTCCGTCTTCAAGGACCCATCCCTCCTGGCAACATGTCCAAAGTATGTCAGACGAAGCCCCAGAATCCTTGCCTCCAAGGAGTAGCTTGGTTTAATCCTCTCCAAGATGAATCTGTTTGTTTTCCTGGCAGTCCATGGTACATTCAGTACTCTTCTCCAGCACCACAGCTCAAAAGCATCCTTCCACTCTCCTTCTGTCCTCCCTAGTCATTGTCCAACTCTCTGATGCATAACAAGCGAAAAGACCATGGCCTGTATCAGGCGCACCTTAGTCTCCAGAGAGACACCGTTGCTCCTGAGTACTTTAGAGAGGTCCCTAAACCCCTGAAGTTGATTGTTGCTGTTGTTGTTTGGTGCCACTGAGGCAAACAGGACTCCTAGCAGCCCTATAAAAGCCGACCTGAACCCTCCTGTGCCATCCTCCTCATCTCAAAGACACCAGAGCCCACTGCTGAAGTCACCATGTCCATCTTGTTGGGGGTCTTCCTCTCCTTAACTGACCCTCTGCTTTTCCAAGCATGATGTCCCTTTCTAAAGAATACAGTCTGGCCTAGCTACGTGTCCAAAGTGTGAGAGATGAAGTGTCACCATTAGAACCCCCTAAAGCACACGACAGTGCCTAAAAAAAACTGCAGCCAAAAAACAAACAGGTTCACAAATCAAGTTTTTAAAAAAAAAAAAAATTAGAAGTCGAATATGTCTTTCCTTCACAGCTACGCTTTCTTTTTCAGGTAATATCATGGTGATATTTTCAAGGCTGAGAGGATGTATGACTTGTAAAAAGTTACCCAGTGACTGGCACCCCCAGGGGCCGGCCACACCCCGAGCATCTTGATTGTTGTTTGCTGACATTAGCATCTTCCAGGGCCTCATAACCTCTTCTTTCCCAGAAAAACCCCAAGTCTTGGGTTTAAGAATGAGCAGGTCCAGTTACCCAAGGTCTCAGAAAGAGGCAGGAAATTCCACAGTGAGGCAACAGCCTTTGTCAAAAGAGACATTTAGAGAAGGAAGGATATCCTGCTGTGTTCAAACAACACCCTCTCATTCAGGCTGGCCCAGGGTCTTGAGTTGTTCAAGATCTGGAAATAGGGGGGATCCTCTCCCACCTCCTGGCCCTGTTCTGGACTAAACTCTAGAATGTCTCTAGAATGCTTCCTCCCTGTCTCCCTCCCACAGCATCCATTCACAGACCTTTACTGGAAAGCCTGCCCACTCCCTGGTCTGGAACCAGATCTGTGGCTACCACCCTTTCTAACACACGTCTCTAAGCAAGGCTATACAGAAATCCATGACCTTGACAAGTTCTCGTCCCACTTCACCTGGCCTATACCTACTCACTCTGCAAGTCCCAACTTGAATATCCCTGGGGAGGAGAGTTCTGGTGGCCTAATGCCGAGGCAGTTGTGGTGCCAACCTAAAGGCCTATGATTTGGATCCACAAGCTGCTCCTCTGGAGAAAGATGAGCAATCTTCTCCCACGTGATTTACAGCTTCTAAAAACCACTGGAGGGTCGGCTATGAGTTAACTTGAGTCAACAGCTATGAGTTCGTTCTGATTTGCAGTGCCTCGCTGGTGGTTCAAATCCACCAGTGACACCTCAGGAAAAAGATGGGCTATCTCCTATCATGGTATTTACCGCCTCAGACACCCAACACAGGGTCAACTAGGAGTCAATTTCAACTCAAAGGTAGCGAGTCAGAGGTTGTTTGAGGGTTTTTTTGAGAAGGGCTGTTACTATTACAATTGTACCAGGGTTGGTGTTTTATCCAACCTAGATGGGCAGCTTATCCTGTATCCTGTACCCTGCTCAGTCCAGATGTCTCGTGGAGCAATTACAAGGAAAATAGGCAGGTTCAGTTTCAGCCTCTACCCCTCACTTGCTCTGTGACTTCACCTATAAAATGGGTACAATAACACTAACCACATAAGGTTTCTGTGAGGATTCAATGAGGATTTAGCGCCTTGGAAACTCAATGAGTCAGTCCTACTAAAAAGCAATGAGTTTACTGACTTGAGAGTCACACATCCTAACCCCATCCACTCACTCTAGATGTGTCCAAGGTCCTGTAACTTATGCCTTGGGCCTTATCACACTTGGTGGTGGGGGGTGGGGTGGGAAGAGGAGTGGTGGTGGTGGTGGTGGTCAGGCCATCACATCAGAACCAACCTGTAGCTGAGCCTCCAGGAGGTTTTCAGAGCTTGCACAGGAGGACACTGCCCATCTTTCTCCCTCGGAGCAACTGATGGATTCAAATATCGTGCCTTTGGGATTGCAGAGCAGTTTCTTACCACTGGGCCACTCCTCCACGGTAGGAAACATATCCTGCTCACATGGGTTCCCTAGAGCTGATTTTAGTGTCTAA